TATTTTTGAAGAACAAAAAGTAATTACTTGGCAGCACAAATGCTCATTCCCTTTAATGAGCCTGTTAAAGATAAAGGTATGTAGTGCATATTTCACTGGGAGTGAAGACATACGTCACAGTTATTGATATATAGCTTTTATTTTGGAGCTCTAAAGTACGCCAAGATACGACACGAAATACGTTGCAGCAGCAAGTCATTAGCTGGCTGTTGTTTCGTTCTGTGTGGGCGGGTGTTATCTGGCTGCATTCCAGGAAGTTCTGATGTGCCGTAGCTTGTTCCCATTCATAGGATGAAGTGCTTCACATTGAGGACATCAACAGTGCTGAAAAAAACTGCAGGTTGGCTGGCTAAAAAAAACAAAATTTCATGTAACACTCTATATCTGGGAAGACTGTGCAAGCCAAGATGTGTATTGATATCATCAAGAGCAGGAATTGTGACCTCTTAGTGATCCTAGTTCACGTTTCTACATAACCCAGTTCACAGACTCCTTAATTTTGGTTGTGTGGGGGTGGTTAGGGTTGTCCACCCATGTGCAATTACTGGATCAAACTTTAACGTCTTGCTCAATGGAAGCTTTGAGAATGAAATGATCTATTTCTTAAGGAATAAAACTGTGCCAAAGTATTTGAGTATTTGCCTGGAGGAGGGTGAATTTCCAGCATCCACACCTTAAGGAAGATCAAAGGACACGATGTAAAATTGCAGGTATCAAGCTGGGACAGATCCCAAATGCAAGTTTCATATGTTACTTTGGGAAGTTAAAAAACAATCTGCAGAGGCTAGAGCTAATCATTTTTCCTTCTTTCTTTCTTTTTTATTTTTTTTCTCTTGTATCTTCTGATACTTTTAAGATAAGTTACAGGGCTGTGATATCTACTGCCATATAACTAGCATGTAAATCCTTTTGACCTATTTACTTAGCATTATACCATTTATCTGTGACTGCATTCTTCTCATAGATGTATACTAAATATGCATTAACAGCTTAACACTGAGCATTGAATGAACTGAACAGAAAGCATTGAATAGGACTTATTTTAAATTGCTTTCTATATTGTATTTTCAAATGTAATTTTCAGGTATTCAACACTTTTACGCTCTGTCCCACTGAAGTCAGTCAAATTAAAATGTTTGAAGGAAGGCTTATTTTAAGGCTGCTTTGTGTCTCGGGTCAAGGTTAGATGAAATGCATTAATTTTAATGCACTTAAAATATTTTGATTTTTGTAAAGGAGAAGCTGTAACTTATGGGCAAGGAGAGGATGTTGTCACAGTACGGAAGGAGGGCTGGGTGGGGAGCATATGGGCCTGAAATATCCACACACATTCTCTCACAGAACTAATTAAACCTCAGCCTCGGTTTCCCCTTCTATCGTTCACAAGTCTCTGCTTACCCGTCTCTCGTGTCTGTTGCACACAGAGGATGGCAGATTCCTACTGCGCCCTCTTAGTGCCTCGTTCTGTACATTAGCTCTTTGTGAAGCATTCTTTAAGATGAGGAGCATTCACAGAAAGCCTTGCAGGAAATTAGTCAGTCTCTGTTTAGGGCAGATTTAGGGAGGTGTGGTAGGTAAAACTAAAGCCACACGCTGAACACAAATAGCTGGGAAGAGGTGCCACCCTGAGAACGGTGGATCGCTGAGTAACGCTGAAGTTTGGGAGAGGATGCATTGTATGATTGTGTATTTTAGACTATCATGTGCTAGAAATAAACTGAATTTTGCCATGATCTTATTTCTGAAGCCTTGATTTTGCAGTCTTTAGTTCTTCCAGGACAACTTTATGCATTGAGTGTACACATCATGGGACTGGTAAGAGGATCTCTAGATTAATTTCACTACAAAAAAGGAGAGGAATTAGGAAAGAGAAGCATGAGAATTAACTGGCAAATTAATTATTTTCTCCAGTGGATGTAAGAAAGGATCTCTAATATAAGGAGCTTCCTAGTGAATATTCTTGGTGTGACATTATTACCTCTTTTACAAACCAGGTAATTTCTCAGACATGGGAGACTGACAATTTCTAAAGCAGATCTTCAGAGGTGCTGGATCCATACAAGACCCAGGAAATGAGTAACTAGAGAATGAAGCCAATTTTGTGTCTGAGAGCAGCCGTCTTACAATGAACTTACAATGAACAGTCTTGCATTTGTCTGGATACTCATAAATATAGCCTGAGAATCGCTAAGAGCGTTTCCTGCAGAAGTGGCAGTTTCAAGCTGTGCTTTTTTATTTTTCTAAAGAATCTTAGACATTTCCTCACAACCAGCTCCTTAGTGCCAGGATACCTTCCTGTAAATTCACAGGAGGTTAAATTCACCTTGCAGAATCATGACACTGAAAGCCTATCCCCCTAAGTAAAACAGATCAGTCTTGCATTTGTCTGGATACTCGTAAATATAGCCTGAGAATCGCTAAGAGCAGAAACAAGGTTGAATCAGACAGACATTGCCATTGGTTTCAAAGGTGCTGAGGTTTGACCCCAGATGGCTGAAGAACAGGAAGGTCTCTCTCATTTTGAATACGGTACCAACAGTGTTAGAGAGAAACCTCAAAGGCCTCAATAAGTAGCTCATTCTCATTTCAGTTACAAGCCTCCTGAAACATGAAAAGCTAATGAACTTCACTGTACTCTTAGATTTCAAAGAAAGAGTCACTTCACAGTCTACAGGAAAGGGTTTGGAAGAGGCTCCTCATTAACAGACATCCCTCTGAACTGTTGTCCTGTACAGTTTTACAGGTCATGAGTTTGGTAACACGAGTCAATTTGTACTGGAAAAGTTACTATTCCTCCCTAGAGATTGCCTCTGAGGTAGTAGAGAATTCTTGTAGGTGAGTAACAAGTACCATTGAACACTCATATTCAAAGATTGCAAGGAAATCTTTATTTTTTTTCACAAGTATTTAGCAATTCATTTGCATAGCAAGCAGGTCACGAAGTAAATTGCATTACAGAAGAAATAAGATTTAGTTCTCTGAAATATCAGATACTTCCTATATTTCAATGTTTAAATATCTTAAATTACCACCCATTACTGAGACTGGAAAAAAAACGAAGCATGGTCACAATGGAAGGCATTTTTGATTCCAGGAATTCTGGATTAGAGTTTAAGGCCTAAATCCTCAAAAGTATTTGAAAACATTAGGCCCTCCTGAAATGTGGAATTGTTTTGTGGGGAGTGTAGGCTCCAACACATGCTTCTGCCTCTGTCCAGACCTGGGCACTTACACTGTAAGCAGTTCAAAACTAGGCCTTGGTGTTCAGGGAAGACACCCAGCACACCCTGAGGCACTATGAGAGTAATTTCAAAATAAACTATAAATATCTGTAATTCTAAGATTCTCTAAATCTTAAATAGATGCTTAACATTCACATAGAAACAAGTTAGCAAAACGTCTCTGAAATATCAGATACACTGCAGTCAAACTTTTAAAGAATTTAAGCTGTCTCTGGTTTCAGGTGCAGATTTCTGGCTGCTCATGCTCTGTGGCTGTGCCTGTGCCATGGGAGGTCTCACTGAATGTTAAGTCCTCCAATAATCACAAGCATGAAAGGAGTTCTATTTAGGTGATGTGATATTCAGCTCCTGGATCCCTTTTTCTTACATGTTCATAAGAGGTGGCCACAGGATTTTTAAGAGCAGCTTTGGAGTGAGTGGATACTGGCACAGGACTTTACACGTGTTTGCTTTCTCACCAAAGACATTTGCAGTGTCCACCACCTGGGCATCGACAGGAGGTAAACCAAGACAGCTGACAGAAAGCAGAAGGTAACGTTTCTAGGGTCCTGAGCTTGCAATTCCTTCTTCTGCAAAAATATTTGCCATCATGCTGGAAGATGAAGATGGTACTGACACATGGTACATGGCTGCTTCCTGCAGCCAAGCCTTTCTATGCTGATGCATTTCAACAAAAAATAAATAATAATAAATAAATAAATAACAAAATAGCTCTTTCAATAAGTTACTTGCCTTATAAATTAACACATGAAACATTTCAACTAGGAACTGCCAACATCTGACATCACAATATTCATCTCAAGTAAATAATAAATAAATAAATAAATAAATAAATGCAATACAATAATATGCAAAAGCTACCATAGTAGCTGGCAGCAATGTGCCAAAAACACTTCTACAATATATGTTAATATAACATGATGTATGATAGAAGAGTTATTCAAATCTAATTTAAAAGAGCTGCCAGAATCAACATCATATTAATCTATTACAATAAAAAATATGTCATGGTTTCTTAGTAATCCAAAATGCAGATTTTCTTCCAGTTATTCTTA